TTTATCAGAGAACGCTTCAATCAGATAATATCTGAAATTAATTGAGAGTTGAATTCTGTATCGATAAATGACGAAAACAGCTGACAACCGAGTTAAGAGAGCGTGACGCACCAGTCTAGGCGGCACTGTGTCGTACCGTCTCGTTTTCTGCGGACGTCGAACAACTCCTTAAGTAGGTCAGCCTAAATAAATTTATAAGAACGTAGATAAACGAGAAAAATTCAATAAAGCGTTGAGAAAAGTCGAAAAGATTTGTGAAACATTGGTTTGTATTAGAAAAATGTTTAATGTGGTCTGCAAATAATGTCTGTTCTTATTCAATTCCTGATTTTGAAATGTCTGAAATGTAATGTTACTTCAAAAAGTTTAAGAATATTTTTTATGTATACGTGATTTGATCGACTTTTTTTCTTACGTAATATTTATATTGTATCGCAGCTACTCATTCCTGCAGCTAATCATTCCTGTTTTTTTATGTATTTTTCTTTTCTCAATCAATTCCTTTTTTCTCTCACAATATGAATGTAATTTTATTCACTGCAATCTATGATTATTTGATTTGTGATTCAGTGCTGATCCTGAATTTCATATTAGTTTTGGGTTGTAAGTTTATAGCAACTGAGAAAATTTAGAAATAAGTGGCCTTATCGTTGCTCCAAAACTGTTTTTTTAACTTAATGAAACAGAAGTCCTCATAAGTTTAAAGAAATTATTTCTGTATTTCATAGAAGAATTTATTGGCTAGCTCCATAAAAAAAATGCTGTTGCATTTTTTACATCATTTCATCACATCGTTTTTTCTTATTGAGAATAATAAATTAAGAACGTTTTATATCAGAAATACTATATAACGTGTAGCCGAGAATAAATGTCTCATTCAGTATTTTCTCAATATCTCTGTCAAAGTTGATTCGTAAGTCTCGATCTTTTCTTTGAAAGATTCCTCATTCAATCCTTTACGGAAAACATATTGAACATTTCTTTATATACTATAAGAATAAAAAAATATAGAGGAAATATCAGTATTAAAAAAATATACCAATTATATAAATACCAATTTTGCCCAGAATTATCATAGTCTAATTGCAGTTTTGAGGCACTTCGCAAAATTTGTGTGATTTGGTCAAAAGCACACATTATGACGTCGGATCTGGTTTATCTTAAAGCAAAATAATTCTTCTGTTACATCCGAGCAAAGAAAGTCGTTTCCCATTTCGGCTCATTTGGTTTCCTGCGCCAAGGCGAAGAAATAAAATTTTTCCTTCGCTTTACTCTTAGTAAAATCGTCGTTGGTGGCAGAAAAAAAGGTTTGTAGCGAACTTATGATACAGGAAGAAAGGTGACATTTTGAAACACCATAAAATACATTTTGATTCCACTATCATGTATAGCACCGTGCTCAAAATAAATATTTTTGGTTATGTTTTGGGTTTGATACTAGCCATGTCACGCATTTTTTGAGAATACCATCGGTTCAACGAAATACCACCGGTTGGACCGAACCGTTCGATATACCCTGCGGTTTAACGACGGTTTTTTCTTCTACCGGCGGTTACCGCAAGGTAGTTTTCAGACCGCGGTACAAGAAAAAACCGTCGATAAACCGTTTTGACACAATCATCTTTTTGTTTTACGGTTGTCAGTCTATATAAGAAATGCAGAAAAGTCAAAAAGCTTGGAGTTTTTTCAGATTAAACTTTCTCTGTCAGATTATACAGACTCGTAGAAATTTGCACTTTAACTTGAGTCAACTTTTTCCCGTTCGGAAACCTTATTGCGCTGCGCTGCATGCATACGGCAAAAATAGAAAACTGAGAACTAGATTCGAACTTCTGTACTGTTTGCTCACACTGATAAAATACCGGTTGATGCCGCCGGTACAACCGACCGGTATACCGCGCGGTTCGGTAGACCGTGCGGTAATTTCACATGTCCATTAGGTTAACCTCCCATTATACTGGCGGTGATCTCTGCAGTAACCGGCGGTATTTTAGCGGTTCTGATGACATGGGTAATCAGTATTGAAGCTTACTGGTATTTCCTCTATATTGTTTTAATTTTATAGTATATAAAGAAATGTTCAGTATGTTTTGTGTAGAGAATAGAATGAGGAATCTTTTGAAAAAAGATTGAGACTTGGCGATTAATCTTGACCGAGTTGATTAAGAGTTTACTGAGTTTATTCTGGGAGACCCGTTGTGGTTATTACTTGTCAGGTGTGAACCTACTATTATGTATCTGATGTGATCCTAAAACTTTCAATTAATTTCCATTTGACAGAACAATCCGTTAGGTTTCAGAATTTGTGAAACTTTTGACTTCAATCCTTTTCTCTAACTCAGCCGGCCTCAGTGTTTAAACATGACAATTAACGATTCATAATCGAAAATGAACACATGGCTAGACAATTTGCAATCAGGAATTTTCGTATTCTGACTGCAACAGACTGCTCAACGCATCGTAAAAGACCATAATTTCTAACTTTCTAACTCATTAGACATGAAAAATATCAGGAGAAAGAATCCTGATCTTTGACCCAACCCCCTCCTTTCTACATTTTTTATAAGGAAAACTCGACTGCTGAAATGTGAATTCTGTGGAAAACGTTTCTCGACATATGAATTCAAATTACATGTGGTAAGAAATAAATTTAATTTTGAAGTAAAAATAAAAATATAGTTCTAGTATTTATGTTCTAAATTCGGTTTTAGGAAGTTGAAACCGAGCGACTGGTAAACAAAGACAGGTGATCAGGCTCTAGAAAAGTACTTTTTAAAATTATCAAGTGCTATTGGATTTCAGAGGTACTCTACAACAACAACAACAAGCTTCTTCAGTTCAAATTCCATGTGAATTTTGTGAAATTTTATGTGATCTGCAACATTTACAAATACATCAGGTAAATATTAGTACGTAGTAGATAGACATTCATTTATAATATAAGAACCCTTCAAAGAAAAGCACCAGTGTCACCCGCGGTTTTGGGATGTTTCTAGAAAATACATTAATCCTTCTATCTTGAAGGGCATAAAGATCCACTTAGGCTTGCTTCCCATAGAAACTAATAATACGGCTTAATTTTTAAAAAATGTCTTTGTAGGGTAATCGAGAGACACTGGCATCAGATAGAGACCTTATTTAGAATGTTCCTCTGCAAATCACATCTCAACGATTAGTCATAATCGCGTGCATACTTGATATTTCTGAATCTCATGGTAGAAACATATTTTCCAAATTCATTTTGTGTTTGATACACATGACGTACAATACTGCATTTAGGAAAGTTGCCCCAGACGCCCACAAAGGAATATTTATAGACCAACCAGCCATGAATACAGTCGAACAACAGCTGTCACTCCCATAACACCAAGTCCAAGACGAGGTAAAATTTAGACTTCTTAATGAAACCCGTTTAAACGCGTTATAATAGGCATGCTGAGACGCGTTTATTGCTTGTGCTAAAAAGAATACGTTTGCATTTTAATAGTTTAGGTGAACTACGTTTATGAAAATGAAATAAAATGACTAAAACTATAACACACACTTCCACCAATAGGTGCTGATCATCAAGTAGATTTTACTGTAGTTCTTCGGGAACTGTACCACCACCACATCAAAAGTTCCCGCAAAAATCGAGATTTTTCCTTATATGAAAAGTGCTCGATTCTGAATAAGGGTGTGTCATTTAAAACATCGGTATCGGGCCTAGTAGGGATTAACATTATTGGGTTCCGATGTTCCGACGTTCTTTCGACCTATGCACTAGTAAATTTGATAAGCTGAATACAACAGCCCTGGAAGTTTACTACAAAACATAATGAAAGTGAGTGCAAAAGAATTTGCAAAAGAATTCCTAGAGAAAATATAAAGACACATACCCATGAGGTTTTATTGCTTGAGGTTTGGCAGCGCCTAATCGTTATCCTCAGCAAAATCAGTCATCAAACACGAACTGCGACCAGAATACTTCCAGTCAGGGATATCCCCTAAGAGGGAGCGCTTATTTTTTTCACTAGGGTATCCGCCATCTCAACAATCGGATTATCGTCAGTGGAAACCGTATCAACTAGGTTATTCCTCGGATGTTTATCGAGGGGCAGCACCTTCAAATTACCAACAAACATCGTATGGAGTTCCATTACATCAACAGCCAGCTGGAGCCGGACCAGGAGGACATCCAGGAGGTGCCTTTCCATCTCAACAGCAGCAGAGTTCGGCTTTGTATCAACAAGGGCCTCGTCCATCGTCTGGAGTTGTCAGTGGTAACGACTCACGTGAGCAACGAATAAATCAGATTGTACAAAAATATGAAATCAATCCTTCGTTGAAAAGTCGCCTTCGAATTTTAGAAAATTTTGAAATCGTTTTGTTATGTGACGATAGTGGCTCCATGAACACACCATCAGAAATCGGTTCGCAAACGCGTTGGGACGAAATGAAACAAATTGTTAACATTATTCTTGACATTTGTATTATATATGATTCAAACGGCATGGATGTCTATTTCCTCAATCGTCGTCCCGTTCAAAATGTTACACACATATCTCAGTTGAACGAATGCTTTAGTACCCTACCGCAAGGTATGACACCCATTGCGCCCGCACTCCGAAATATTTTACGAACAAAAGGTAGTCAAGCACATGCAGGAAAAAAACTATTGATTTTCATTGCAACAGATGGAGCTCCTACCAACGACCAGGGACAAGTCGATATTCAATCTCTAGAATACGTAATTCGTAAGGAACGTAATCCTCAAACCACGTATATCTCGTTCTTGGCGTGTACGGACGACAATGATTCAGTTGCTTATTTATCGACTTGGGATAAGCAAATGCAAAATGTCGATGTTATTGACGATTATCAAACGGAAAAACAAGAAGTACAGCGTCAGCGCGGCTATCAGTTTCCGTTTTCCTATGGTGACTACATTGTCAAAGCTCTATTAGGAGCGATTGACCCATATTTTGATGCATTAGATGAAAGATCATCTTAAATTTAAATACATTGAATATTTTCTCCTTTCTCATTATGAGGAATATGTGTATACGCTTTTATATTGAAGTAAGATTCAACAGAGAGAATAACAATAACAAGAGAGAATAACAATATCAAATAACATTTGATATTCATTCAATTGATATTGAATGAATATCAAATGAGTATACTTTAACGAGCCCTCATCACACATGAAGGGAGGTTATTTGATGTATTTGTTAACAGGGCTAATCTGTATATTGAATTTCACTGAGAAATTTATATAAATATTGTTTAATATCTTTTACTGTTCTATAGGCATAAGGCACAACCAAGTCAAATAAAATAACAGAAATTGATAAAAATTCTAATTAAAAATATAATATATGATCGTCGAACTGAAGAATATTATTATGAAACATATGATAAATGTAGATCAACAAAGTCTTTAAAAATTCTAATAAAAATATTTTAAGATAATCGAAACTATCAAGTGGTATGAACTACATAAAGACATTTGGAGAAAAAGTTCAATTTTTAAACTAGTTTAATTTGAAACCGACTATCCACCCGTCACCGATTTTTCTAGTATTTATCTAAAGGAAAAATTCATCGCGATAAAGAACTTTTTCATCGCAGAAATCTCTTTTATCGCGATACCTGTCAATA